CACAACAAGAAATATACCTTGTTATACGATACCATCAAGGAAAGATAAGTCGACAGTTTATTTCTCACAGTTTTTTGGTTAACTGTTGATTTTTGTAAAATTCCATGTTCGATATAGATTTAGAACAATAGAGAATTGTGTGTTTTTTTAATTTCCTTTATTCAAGTGTATCAATTGAAAATTGAACGATTTAATTTAATTGTTTCCGTTTTGTAAATAGATATAGGAAGATGTGGTATGAGTGCCAATGAGACAACTCTCCATCCAAGTTACAATTTATAAAAGTAAACCATTATAGGTCAAGGTACGGCCTTCAACATGGAGCATTGGCTGACACCAAACAGCAAGCTATAAAGGGCCCCGAAAAATTACTAGTGTTGCCATTCAAACGGAAAAACAAACGGTCTTATCTATATAAAAACGAGAAACACGTATGAACTACATAAACAGACGACAACTACTGTAATCAGATTCCTGACTTAGGACAGGTGCAAACATTTGCAGCGGGTTTAAACGTTTTACACATTGTTATTGATGTTATATGTCTCATTATAATAATTTTTTTAATTTGAATGTATCTTGACATAACAATCACTTTGCACTTTAAAGGGAGGACAAGTAATGGATGAGAATATTCAGAGCTTATGTCTGATATTGACAAACTTTTATAGAGCAATGAAATACAGTGAGTTCTGTATGTGCCTTTTTAGATACAATGTAACAATGAGTGGGATGTCGCTTTATCTTCCATAAACATTATAACAAAATATCAATTTTTCATTTAAGTATTTTTATTTTTATTTCAGTTAGTTAATTAAAACCTTGCATTATAGTATTTCAAAAAAATTTGAATTTTCAATTTCTTAAAATAATTTATGCAAGTTGTAAGAAAAATCTATCATTTCTAACATCATTACTGCAATGGATTACGGATACGAACGCTTCGGGAATTTTTACTATTTATAAAAAATGTCATTTATATTTCCATGTTTTATATCCGCCATTAATTTGACATAAACATTCGCCGAAATATTTCGATTAATTAAAAACCTCTTGTTTTCCGGTGTCTAAATGTTTTACCTTTTTTCTTCTTTTTTTCAACTGCACAGTGACAGATATATGTATTGACCACATGTACCATTTCAAAATTGTTCCATTTGTACAATAATCTATATCATGATCATATTAAATTATTGATAACTTCAACGTAATTTGATCGCTGATGGAGGGTTTGATTGGCAATCGTACCACATCGTCCTGTTTTTATTCATCTGGCAATCAGTGAAATGTACAAGAACATGTTACCACTAAGTCGTACGCTTTAAATCTTTTACAAACATTTTGTCCTTTGAGACTTCTACAGAACGGGATCCACACCAGAAAGCACAACAAGAGATATACCTTGTTATACGATGCCATTAAGGAAAGATAAGTCGACAGTTTATTTCTTACAGATTTTTGGTTAACTGTTGATTTTTGTAAAATTCCATGTTTGATATAAAGTTGGAACAATAGAGAATTGTGTGTTTTTTTAATTTCCTTTATTCAAGTGTATCAATTGAAAATTTGACGATTTAATTCAATTGTTTCCGTTTTGTCAAGTACACATTGTTATTGATGTTATATGTCTCATTTATAATAATCTTTTAAATTTGAATTTATATTGACATAACAATCACTTTGCACTTTAAAGGTGGTACAAGTAATTGGTGGGAATATTCTGAAAAAATGCGTGATATTGACAAACTTTGATAGAGCAAGGCAATACAGTGACTTCTGTATGTGCCTTTTTAGATAATGACGAGATTTATGTCGCTGTTCCATAAACCAGATTACAAAATAACAATTTTTCATTTAAGTATTATTATTTTTTTTTACTCTAGTGAGTCAATTAAAACCTATATTATAATTATAATATTTCAAGACCATTTAAATTTTCAATTTCTTAAATAATTCATGCAAGTAGCAAGAAAAAATTTACCATTTCTAAGACCATTACTACACTGAATTACGGAAACAAACGCTTAGGGAATTTTTCCTTTTAAAAAATATGTAGTTTATATTTCCTTGTTTTATATCCGCCAATAATTGTATACAGACATTCGCCAAAATATTGCAATTAATTAGAAATATTTATTTTTGAACGAAATTTAAAAAAGCTGACACAAACAAACGCTATCTGCAAATATGAGAACACAAAAGAATGCCTTTCATTGTACCGAAATATTTGTCTTTTAAAATGTAAAACGTGTATTTCTTCATATTCCGGGCATTTTTACTTCGTCAAAATGTAAAATGGTGTGCCCGACTTTCTTCCCACGATACTATTATTGTCCCTTTTTCTGCATTTTTTCCCCAAATAATGTTGCTGTAGACGGAGATGCAAATTAATGGTAATCAAGATAATGTTTTTAATTGATCTTTATTTGGATATTTAAAGTGCAATTTATAATGCATCTTCAAGATCCAAATGGTTTTAACCCACCGCAATAAGCTGTTTTGTAAAAAAAAAATGTCTTTAATTCATAAGACTAATTATATACCGTAGCTCCATACTACAATCTGTGTATAAAATAAATATGTATGAGATACAAAACATCTAAAGGGACAATAGCTACGATTTAGACAAAGAATAAGATATGATATTTTGGTTTCGAACATTTATAAAAGTGGAATATTGAAATTCTTTGGTAACTATGTGGTACTTTAATTGAAATGTTATTCTAAGCTTACAAGTGCATACTGCAGAAAAATCAGAGTTGACTTTCACAATACAACAATTTTACAAATATGTCATAAAAAAATCTAATGTTTAAAATGTGTCTAAGACATTTAAGAGATGAAGACGTTTTGGATTAAAGACGTTTAGCAAAGAGCAAGTGAACTAAAATTTAGCAACGGGCAAGCGAGGAAGTTTTTAACCTTATAAACACTTTTTTAGACTCGGGTGATCAAGTCTTTTTAGCTTGACATATTGTACATGACATTTGTATAGCCTCCTTTTTATAATCAAAAACAGTAACTTTTAAATTATCCTTTCGTTATTTGTGTAGTTGGGTTGCAATTCCATTGCGTAGATCCGATATCTCTTTTTATTTACATAAGCCATCATTACTTCTTTTTTTGTAATTTTTATCCTATCAAAAGGAAATCCAATCTTATTTCAAATAATTTCAAAAAGGAAATTTAGGATACCTGAATTCTATTTCTTTTTTAATTAAATATTTTTCATATCATAAAAATTATATGGAGACAATAAAAGCAACATATTAAATATTCGACATTGGGACAGACAACATGACTAAAATGAATATATCCACTTCTCTATTTCCTGAATCGATGGGAAATTTTGTAATTTATGAAATTAAAGTAACTTTTAGTAACTAAATACGTTTTTACTAATGTTTATTTGTCGTTGTCTGTGTATATGTATAATATTATTACACTGTCGATATCTGGGGATTCGTAAATCAATATTGTTTTCTAAGCTGTTGTTTTTTTGTTTTTTTGTTGTTGGTTAGTTGTTGACCATTGAGTTCAATACTGATATTGATTAAATGATGGTTTTGCACCATTTGTGAAGTGTACGAACGACTGAAAATGAAATTGCTAGTTCTACGCATTTAGAATGATTCGTTTCCCTACGTATGATCCTTCTACATGTAGCTGTACCAATTTATGATATAAAGCAGATGTTATATTTTTTCTAATGCTGAAAATTTAGAATCGGAAAGTTGCGTTGATTGCTTTGTCATCTTTTTTTTTAAAGGGAGGGGTCGTTCTGCTTTTCCTAAAATCAATACTCTGTTAAATTATCGATCTCTCCAGCTAGTTACATGATCATTTACTATTCTTCCCCGGGAAATTTTACTTTATTTTATCATAGATCATAACATATAGTTACATATATCACTACTGGGTTTGCATTCAAATTCTCTTATCTGACAACACTGCCCTTTTGATATGCCTTACATACCATGTTGTACCTGTTATCGTATCTCTATGATTTATTATGGATATGAAGAAAGGGTTTCATCTTTTAAGATGCTAAATGCTGATTCTTAGGTACCGTGAAAAATGATAAAAAAAAAGACTGTCTAACGTCAACTCTTCTGTTACCATTGAGATGAAGTACTACGATATGTTGTGTGATAAGTTTTAATTAACACGAAAACAACTGAATGAGAAAGTTGTCCTTATTCATGTATTTGATAGAAAACTTCCAATAGTAATATAAACTATTGAAATCATTTTTTTCAACAAACTTGTCATCCAAAACAAACGTGTCACAAGTCTTAGAATATTTATTAACCTTAGATGTCATTTTGTTATTAATGTTGTTGAATTTCGAATTGGCCGCGAATATCTCACATATCTTTTTATTCAAATGTGTAAGCTTTTATGTAATATATTTTTGCTGTGTTTTGCCTTCACGGTCATTTTTACGTAACATTAAGTAAATTGGACGACAACACAGTTACTGACAGTAAAAACTATTTAATCCGTTATACTAGTAATGGACTTCTGGTAATATATAATTATATAAAGATGTCATATAATTGCCAGCCCCACTACTATCAACCAAAGACATAAGGTCAACCTTCGACAATGAGAAACAACACACCTATAGTTATCTGTAACAGGTCACTGTTGACAAAATGTGAAACAATTCAAAAGATAAATATAACGGCCGGGTTTATACTAAAACAATAGATAACAAATTATAATGACAGACGGAAACCAACGTCAACCACTGGAATACAGACAGACTTAGGATTGTCACACAAGGCATATGATGGTGGTAAGCATGAATGTGAGTTCTGAACCATTCCCTTAATCTGAATCACTTAAACTGTAAACAACAGTTGAATATGGCTTAAAAATCAGATCAGCACTGAGCACACCAAAACATGTCGTCACTTGGTCTATGTTTGATACTTGTCTCAATGGCAATCATACAACGTATCTTTATTTTTATAACAAAAAAAACAAAACACATAACCATTTATTTTTCTTTATTACAAAATAACAAAAACTGAATATATATATATATATGTACGAGTACAGGTTTGAATTTTAGGCAAAAAAAAAATCAATTGGAAAAACTGCTGGGTTGAAACTATTATTGTATTCTGCCAACGTAAAGTGTATAAACAGGTAGATTTACGAAGCTAGCGCAAACATACAATATAGGTATTTACTAATGATTTTAAGTGCGTACGAGAGTTGTTTCAATGGCATTTGGCTTACAAAAACATACCTTTAAAATTCTTGTTTTGGTAAGTGCAAGCATTTGAAATCCCCGTTGTTTTTTTAGTCGGAAAACCAATGATGTTATAGAAAATGTGTGTTTGTGTGTATAGGAAGAGGTGGATCATTCTATTTGTAGTTGATTTTAGTGTTTGCTTCGGTTTATCCTTGGTTGTTTCAGTACACAGGGAGGTGAACTGCTCAAATAGCTAGTTTAATTTGCCCATATCCTTGTCGATGTTCGTCTATTAGGAAATTCAAAACAGATATTTGTTAGTCACCATCAATTTTGTACATAACTTGTCAAGTCATGGGGATAAACAAAAAACATACGTAAAAGTGCGATTAACAACACCAACATGACCAAACGAAATCAGAAAAACAAAAGTTAAACAGAAAACTAAAGATTGAACAACAATTTGTTTGTTGCTGCTCCTTTCATGTATGTTATATAGATACAATGGATAAGCGTGGATTCTTGAAAAAGAAACCATGAGCCCGGAGGGCGAATGGTTTGTTTTTCATGAATCTACGCTTATCCATTGTATCTATAACTTAAACTATTGTGTTAATTTCTTTTCAAAATTAAAGCCTTTTCTTAATTAGAAGGTATTGTAAGTGAGTTTAAATAACCATGTTATCGTGTCCAACGATGCATTGATAAATCTCAGATCACAATTAATTGGTTAACAAAATACAAATGTAACACTTCTACCTTTAAAGATCTTTATATTACCAGGCATATGAATATTATCTGTTTATACAAAATAAGACATATTCGAAATTATTTCTAATAAAATTGAAAATGGAAATGGGGAACGTGTCAAAGAGACAACAACCCGACCAAAAAGCATATATAAAGTATATATAATAAGTATGTTATCGAAATTTTTCTAGCACTCTAGGCACATCACGATTTTCTCGCATAGGAATTTGCGAACAAACCTTTGTAAAATTATGTAGTAAAACAGATGAAATCATACTATATTTATAAAACAAAAATTGACAAATAGAATGTAATCATTTTTTGTTTCAAACATGTGAAATAGCCAATAATAATTAAAAAAAACCGGTAAAACTCGCTATTATTACAAAAATATCCACTATAACATGCAAAATTAGAAAAAAAAACCAGGATATATTAAGAATTGGAACAACAGAGAGAATACAGGGATTCGAACCTAAACCGACAAATCCCCATCTTTAACTCATTGATTTTAACCATGCTAACCTCGCGGCTACCAACTCATACTATGCGACTGCCTATTGTGTCTATATAAAGGTACAAGCCCTGTGTGTCCGATGAACCGATGTTTATCAGATGTTCATTTAAATATATAAAATAGACATCTATAGTGTAACCCATTATCCACTGGTAACCGAGAGGTTTCGTCTATGTGTTGATGTCAGTCACACATAAGAGATTTCAAGGAAGGGTTCGATTCCCAGTGAAGGCATATAAAAATTACAAAAATTAAAGGTAAGTTTTGAAATTAATTCCATTAGTGAACAGAAATCAGTAAATTAGCCAATTCAAACTTAATGAAATTAGGCACACAAAGGAAACATTTGAATATAATGTGGTCAATTTCAGCGGCAGATTCAGGAAGCGTTGATTCTAGAAAAAGAATCCACGGTAAATGAATAGGCTGACGTCACCACAATGGTTTAATATTAATTAATCAACAGGACTATTTCACAGCAATGATTAAGGTCATGTGAAAGTTTAAGTCCTTTAAAGCACTTTATGGACTTTGATCGATTTTATCTTTATGCATAAAAAGTAAAATAACAAAAACTACCGAGCTCCAAGGAAAGTTCAAAACGGAAAGTTCTTTAAAAAATGGCAAAACCAAAAGCTCAAACACATCAAACGAGTGGAAAACAACTCTCATATTCCTGACTTGGTAGAGGCATTTCTTATGTAAAAAAAATAATTTAACCTGGTTTTGTAGCTAGCTAAACCTCTCACTTGCATAAGAACTGATATGTGTTTAAATTAATTCTTTCGTTTATAAACTATAATTCTCGTTTAAATTCATTTTTATTTCTGTTTTTTTAACTTTGTTTTATCTTTAAATGATGCTAATGCAAGCCTTGTTATGGTTTTATTTCGTCTGATTGTATTTTAAAAAAAAATATAAATCAAATAACTTTAAGGTGTGCATGAGAATGTCAAAATTTTAGTTTTTTTTACAACATTTAATAGAATATTCTAAAACTTTTTACATTACTAGTATACATTTATTTTACAAGAATGTACAGAAAACGGCAGTGAAACTCAATGTTTGTCTATACATGTATTGTAATAAATGTTATTACAAATTAGTTCAGTCATTGGTTTTTGATGTTTAAAGTCTCGGTATCACCATTGTGACTGCTTATTGTAATCTTTGGAAGACATGCACTGTTCTGACTACCTTTGTCGTCCATGTTCCGTGTGCTCTTGTCGGCTTCAGTTTCAGATTTCTTTTTCAGACTCAAATTCATCTTCAAGTATCCAGACTGGATGCTGCTCCTACTGTCGTTTCTGGATTCCTTGGTAATTCTGTCAAGGTCACTACCATTGCTGTATCTGATAGAAGGTAGTTCATCTGTGTAGTCATTGCATTGCCTTTTATTGCTATCTTTCGTCTTCGTTGTTCCCGATGAAAGTTTCACATATCCGGATTCAGATTGAATACTCTCACTGCTTGATTTCCGTTCTTTTGTTTCTTTGGAGATGTCTTGATAGCTGGCACATTTGGCATCTTTTAGTAATCCTGTATACGGATTCAAATAGTCCGTACTACCGCCATGACTCTTCATGTCCCCACTTGTAGCTGAGAGCTTACTTAGTCTCTGTGCATCAGTAAGAGACAAGTAATGATTCGTTTTTCTCTTCGTCGTCGGTTGTCTCTCTTTGATTGGCGGTTTAACATCAATGGAATCGGCATAGCTGTAAGGATAATTCGGTAGTAACTTTGAATCAGGTATTTCAGCGTAGTCATCAATGTCTTCGTAATGGTTACTGCTTACTTCTCCCCTCTTCTTCTGAAGTAGTTGTTGCTTAGCTCTACTATTTTTTCGGCGCTTCAAAACGATAATAAGCAAAAGGCTTCCAACCAAAACCAGAATTCCAACCACTATACCAACTGCCATCCCTACTGTTGCTTTCTCTAAAATAATACATTTGTGCATGAAAAAACAAACACTATCAAAACTACTTTTCTGATCATTTTATTTTGGTTCTTAAAACATTGTGTATCAAGAAAAAAAGATGATTGAATACTGAAGTTCTGTGTAACTAAAATTATTATGAGGTAGCTGATGTACGTGTATGTACCTCTTGATATAATTATCTACCTGTCTACTTTAAACAAACCCTTGCGTTTATATATACATGTAAACATTTCTTAGTCTATCATTGTATTTAAACATTTGTCATTCTAATGTTTATTTTTGATAAATCGTAATGTTATAATTTTCTTTATGTTTTCTAAAGTTCATTGTGGTGCGGTTAAAGTTATCCAACTTACACCATCTATACACTTACACTGCTTACAATGGATCAAGTTTTAGAAAAGATACGTATATGCTTTTCTCCTTTTTAGGGAGAGTTTGCCATATTTCTACAATTATATTGGATATTTAAATCATACTAAGAATTCAGAAAGTTTCACATGTCACTCTTTTAAACTATCATAGTAACCAAACCCCTTTCCATAGTTTTATAACCTTTCTTGTCTTTGAGGTAATTATGAAATATTAATTTTGTTGAGGGTTTTGCTAGATTATTGACGTAACATGAAAAAGTAGGCGTAGACACTCTTTTCAAATTGATTAATTCTGTTGCAGATGGGACTATTTCAGTTTCTATATCGGCAAATTCCCATTTCTATATAGTAACGTACCAAATGTCCCATCGGACGGTGTTTATATACCCCAATTGATACGTAACGCGCGTGCATAATTACAGGGTTATGTCTATAACGCAGAAACTGCCCCAGAAGGGTTAGGTGAAAAATATCTTAGGGCCAGAGCAGTTAGGTCCAGAGCCGTAGAGCCGTTAGGTCCAGAGCAGAAGTTTAAACTGTAAATTTACCAATTGTGTCCTATTTAACTGCCTCTCGATTTTCAGGGTAGTTGATATATAGAGCGAAAATGCTTAGTTTGTTGATAAATCCGGTCTGGATCCTTTTAGAATTCACCCGATTTCCTCAGGTTTTTTTACCTACTTTTGTGTATTGAAATTTGAATTACGAGGTTTGATAATCGATTAACTTCTATAGCTGTCGCCTCTTTTGTAGAAGCAATTTGTAAAATTTTTAAAAGCCTGAGATGTAAATTTTACAAATAAAATGAAGGATTTACCATCACTACCAAAGTCTATCAATTAATTAAAAACATTAATACGATATGAATAACGATAACCAATGCAAAGGTTGTTGATCAGTCGATGATGTTGATCTAGTTTTTGTTTAGATTTAATCATCTACTTTTTATAATATTACAGAACTATTAACAACTGCATTAAGCTTACCAGTAGGAGGTTAAGATATCTATAAAACTAGGTTTAACACATCTTTATTTCAGAAATGGATATAGTCGAGCATTTGATGTTATCAGGTTTTATGGACTTCCTCTTTTTTTAATCAACCTTGAAGTTCGCTTTTTTTGTTGAAACTTGTTTTCTTAATTTATTATTGCAATATTCACGTAACGATAATAATGATCCTTAGTGATTTACTCATACCTAATACACTTAATTCGTGTTTTGATATGTCTTATCGTGTCTCTGGTTTTGCTTCTTGAATCAATGTTTTTTGTTGTTGCAAAAAGAAGACAGCCTTTGAGTTTTTTTTAATATTAAACGTATACTTCAACACTATTTGTATAAAAAATTTAAACAAAATACCGTCATTATCAATGTGCAATTGTTGACAGACACCGTCTACTGGATTGCAATTTTGACAACTGCATATCTTTAAGCAGGCAATTCCATATTTACCAGCGTCACATGCTAAAAAAGGAACAAATGCTATTATATTATATTGTAAAATGGAGTCTAAAGTTTTCAAAGTCAATTGTAGATATATTTGTACGTTAGGGAAGAGTACTCTTCTTTACTACTCTTATTTTGATTGGTTCTTTATGGTTACAAACATTCAACATTGATTAAATCATGGTGTGTGTAATTAGTTCAATATTTGTGATAAATAAAAATCTCAAAAAAAAAGGTTTGCCAATAACAATTAAAAAAACAGGATATATAGAATTAAACTTTGGTTCCAGGCACTAATTACTTCCGTAAATTTAGACACAATGAGTAATAGTCAATTGTCAATGTACTTTGAAATAATTTATAACAAAGCTCACTTTCATTACAGTGCGATCCTTGTTTTCCTGGTTCACAATGACAATCACCTGTCATGTGATGACATTGATGATTGGCCGAACAACTGCATCGGTTAACACACCCAATACCATAGAAGCCAAATACACATTCTAAATACAAAAGTTTTTGATAAATAATATGTTACAAACTTTAAAACAAAGTGCATTAAGCTGTTTTTTTTTATCTATGATATTTTTTCATTGGCGTCTACATTTTGCATCTACTTATCATCACAAGCGACGTCTAGTCCTCTCTATCGGACGCCTAAATGTACTGCCTGTATTACTGCATTCTAAACAAAAACATGCTTCAACCATTTTTGAGATATTTGTTTTCTTTCTATTCGAAATGGTATAGTCCTATTAGTATTCCCGTAGGTGTCACTGCATTGAAATATATACTAAGTGATAATAGAAACCAACATATCATATAAAAAGCCCCTATTAAGTCCATTTTTGGATAGAAATATCAACATTGATCTTTCAATGCATTTTTTAAACATTTGACTACATGATTTTAGACGGTTTGGTCTTACTTCGACTGTTTTTAGATCATACACATGCGAATGGTCTCGTCGGGTTCAAAATCAAAACTCACAATGTTTTCCTCCAAATTTCATTACACTGGACCAAATGTAAAGAGAAATTGTTAATCTGCCCTTCGGGATTATTATGGTGGAAATTTGTCATCCAACGTGTAAATTTCAATTTTTTGTTTGTTAATTATGGAAATTGTAATTGTTAAAATAAAAAACAATCGAAAAGCTCCGAAAATTACGGGAAAAAATCTGTAGGAATACCCCAAGAAGTCCACCGTAGAATGATTGGTCAACTTCCACTTGGTTAATTTGAAAAAATTTTTATTAAATGTAAATTACGTATTGGGTTTACATTTCTATAGGCAATCAATTCACTTATAAGGGGGTTTTATTTTTACTAAGGTAAGATCGTATCATATTTGTTAAGGACATGAAGTGTTGACACTAATTTGTTTGTGTGTTATATTTTATATAAATTTGATTATGCTTGTTTATTCGTGCAAATAATTCCGGTACAAGATATAGCACTGAATATAAGATGAAACTAATGATAGTTCAGTCCCCGTTAAAGTACAGATATGATTTACTCTAGTTGTTGCCACGAATGTCCAAAAAAGGTGTTCATTCTTGAAAATGTATGTTAGGACAATATATTAGTTTTTTGCCTGTACATCTATTTAAAATAATTTTACAGTTTTTCTTGATTTTATCGGTTTTATAAATTACTTGTGCTTGCTTAAAATAATGCGTTTAAGATTATGTGTTTCATCAAATATATATACATAATAACTGCCAACAAATTATTAGTAACTTACTGTGATCACAATATTCTCCTATCCATCCTCTATCACATGTGCACTTTCCAGTTTTTGAATTACATGCTGATGTTCTGGAACATTTACAATTGTATATACAACCAGGGCCATATAATCCTGCACTGCATTCTGAAAATAGATTACAAATGGCATTGACGTCGTATTTACATTAGTTTCCCTACGTTTTAATCATAACTGATTGATTTTGAGATGCCTATACATTTCTTAGAAGTATTTTGATAATTTTATATGCATAGTGACAAAAATTAAAATGTGATTTTAGTAAATGTTGCAGTGTGTTCCTCATCTTATAGAGTTTTTTTTGTCGATATGCATTATGTATTTACTTTGTCTCATACTAAGTTGCGTTCACAAGTTGACTTATATAGTGTAAAGTAAATGGTCATCATACATTATCTGAAAACAAAAAAAAAAAAATAATTTCAGTTTCATTTCAACAAAAATTTTACAAATTGAACTATGTGGACGATGTAATTTTTCTTAGATCAAATCTATGCATAATGTTACTTTTGCTGCAATCTTTTCCGTTAAACCCCGGCTCACACAAGCATTCCCCAGTAACAGGATGACATCTTGAGAGGTTGTCACAAGTGCAGGTAGAATTACATCCATCACCAAATGAGTTCTGTGGACAATCTGTAGTAAATTATGAAATGCAAAACATTATGTCGACAACGCATCATATTAAATCACATTAAGAAAAAAGTGTTTTGTTGCAGACCCTTCAATTTATTCACTCTGTTGGTACGAGTACGATTTCAGTGTGCCACTTCATGAAATTCTGCATACAGTGATCACTGTTTCCTTTTGTTTATTCGTCCATTGATCGTAGTTTGTAGCCCCGACTCTACTAGTAGCTTGATCTATATCAATCTTTCACAGAATATTTGATATATAATAACACAGTGCATGGTCAATAAAATTGAGAATGGAAATGGGGAATGTGTCAAAAAGACAACAACCCGACCAAAGAGTAGAAAATAGCCCAAGGCCACCAATGTTGACTTCTTTGATGTTCATGTCAGATATTAATCGGTGTTCGGATTGAAAATAAGACTTTGTGGAATAATGCGATTGTGCACCATGTGACCGAGAGAATTTTCGATTCATTAATTTGCCATTCAAAACATGAACATATCTTGAAAAAGTATAAGCATGCAGTTTTCATAACTATAACTACTATAGGACAGTGAAACTTTCACAAAATTCCATTTCTTCTGTGGTGACATTTTTTCTCTTCATTTGAATTACATTAAAAACTTCGACTATCTTGTAAATCGAAAAATAAATATTAGAATACACTTGGTGTGTTCACATTATAAGGACATCCTTAAAAGGGCTGTGGGCATAACGGGAAATCTCTGCCACTAGGGTTATCAATGAAAACGACTGAAATCGACACGGTCAATATTACGAAGAGGTTGACCAGTACAATATATAGAAATAAGAAGATGTGGTATGAGTGCCAATGAGACAACTCTCCATCCAAGTCACAACTTAAGACACCAAAATAGTCATCTGATCTGATAACGAATGAATTTGTTCTATTACCTCCTGTAAAATATTTGAATCAATCTGTATATACTTGACAGACGATTCATGCATAGCAGAAACTTATCCTATCGTCGTATTCAGTCTGCTTCAAAAGACCTGATGCGCTGTTAACAGTTTTATTTTCTCTCGGATAATAATTCAAATAGGTTCACGAGTATTGAACTTTTGCAAAATACTCATTAGTCCAATTTCCTTAGTTATAGTGTTATAGATATGTAGACTTCATATTTATAGGTATAACATATTATTTGTCATGGACTAATTTTGTCTTGTATTCAAGTATATGGCTATGCATCATATTATTATCTACATCTGCTAAAGTATTACAGATGTCTTACTTTCATTGCAGAATCTACCGGAATAACCCGGATTACAAGAGCATTTTCCGTCTTTTGGATCACATGTTCCTTCTACACAACTGCATATACTAACACAGTTTCCACCAAATGTACCCACCGGGCATTCTGAAATCAATGATGGTGTATTTACATTATAGTACAAGATACTGTATTTACCATGCCGATATAAACGAGTGTTCAATACATTAAACACACCTGCAATTAAAGTTATTAGCAACATTTGAATGTACCAATTCAGCTAATCATAATTGTTCTGTATTAAATTTCTTAATCATCTTAATTATGATAGTTTTATCAGAGATACAAGTAACAGTAAGTTTAGTTATTGAATTTAGAAATTCTTGTTAGCTAAAGTAAATCATAAAGTATCAATGTGTGAAAATGAATAAACTTTATATCACATTATTAAAAGACAGTCATTTTATTTATCCAGTGCATTACAATAAAGCAAATCACAAAATGGTTGTAGTTTAAACCACTTTCCTTCCAAATAACACACACACACACACTCACTCAAAGAGAGAGAGAGTTGTATTCGAGGAATAATATATCATATAATGATCATATCAATTTTTTTAAATGTTAGTACGTTGGTCAGAGTTCTTCGTTGAGAAGGTAATTGAGTGTTCCTTCTATGTTGACTTCAAACTTTTTGTCGCTAATCTACACAAAACAAAATGTATTTATATTTCCGTGTTTACTTTTACAATGTTAAATATTTGAATTAGTAATATTGGGCACATTGTAATATTAGAATAATGTGGGTCGTGTTATCTTGATTTCTATATTACATTTTTTTAAAACCCTGAAATACAAGAATGTTCAAACTGTCCAGATAACGGTTTTCTCTCTCTTGGCCATACCCATACCGCATAGTCAGCTAAAAACAGGCTCCGAAATGACAAATATAAAACAAATCAAACGAGAATACTAACGACCTGATTTATTTACAAAATAATGAACGAAAAACAAATATGATATACAGCAACAAACGACAATATGTATGATTTTAAAAATATGATTAATATAAATGTAATGGTAAATAGAAGCAATAATTCTAATTGAAGTACTTTCAAAATATTTGATGACTGTTTCATTACTTAACATTTATTAAGCATTTTATTATTCACACTTTGGTATTGTTTCATTACGTGAATATCACATTGCGATTGAAGAATTACCAGGTACCTCAAAAAGACAAACGATAAACTTCATTTAGACTGTCCGCCCTTGAGTATATGCCAGACTTCCTCACAATCTGTTTACAAGTACTTACTTTCCTTACAATGTTCTCCCTTGAAACCCTTTGGACACAAACAATGACCACGCACATGATGACAAGGTTGTTGATTTGGACAACTACAACGATGTGAGCAATTCTGTCCATAAAAGTGATCACGACAATCTGAAATGAACAAAATACTAAAACAATGACGCGACTTGTAGCTTGTAAGTTATGTTTATGTTGAACTATGTAATCAAATATTCATCAATATCCGTCTCTGAAGTACTTTGTTTCATAGTTGAATCTCTTAAAATAAAAAAGGTCATGACGAAAGTATATATATTTTCAGGTCGAAAGATTTTGGTACGTTCATTCTAGGCACTGTAATTTTTTTTAGGTTTCCGGAGTTTTTGACTTTCGACAATTTTTGCTACAAGCGTACCTGATACTGTAATATATGTTATATTTCCGAAAACCGGTAATGTGCTCATGAAATTTTGGTTTTTATTATCATTGAATAAGTACAAAGCTGAGCAGACAAATAGGTTTATTACAAGTGATGGTAATTGTGTTTCTTAACGAAATGTGCTCTGAAAAAAATCCGTTCGTTTTTAGAAAAAGAATGTCATATTTATATCACAAAAAAGAAACAAATAAAGAGGTAAAAAACTTACTTTCATTACAAGTTCTGCCTTCATAGCCTATGTGACAATTACAAAGGCCAGTCTCGGGATCGCAGTCAGAGTTCTCTGAACAATCACATATATATTTACAATCCATTCCATAATATCCGTCTGGACAAACTATATTTAAGTATAGTACAATTAAATACATATAAATTTTAGGCAATTCATATATCTGAATGTTCTACTTGTTATAACTAGTTACAATGTAAATGATAATGAAGATGCTGTTTCATATATTTAATGTCTTAACAATCAATTTTCTTCAAGATCATCAGATATAATTTCTGGGTTGTCTTTTTTTTTCTTTCTGTTAGAGTTATCTATGCAGTAATTAGTGAACTGGTGTTGTTTGTTCGTCTTGTTTACGATATGAAGTGATGTCATAGAGCTGTCCTTTGACCAATTCAACTACAATTTTAGAAACGGCGCCTAAATAGTACTAAGGACCATAAAATAAGTAAAACATTATAAAGAGAATTTGAGATTAAGTAGGGTTTATAAACGTTACTGATCTTTCTTGACAAAGCAGTTTTCTGTTAAATATCTTAAATCCCTTTATTTGAGTTTGATTTTGTAAATGGGTCTTAAAACGCTATTAGATTTATGCTTTTCGATTTACTCAGCTATCTTCCAAAATAATTCTGTTGAAAGATGCTTGAGACATATTTAACAAAACTGATCACCTAAGCAATTAATCTAATGTAATTAATTTCAGTATTTAAACTCAAACAAGAATTTAAAAACATTTTTTTGAAGGGGTTATCAATGCTAAAATGATTATCTTACCCTTATCGCAGTTTGTTCCAGTATACCCTGCTTTACACTTACAACCATTCTTTGGGTCGCATCGTTCAGTTGAACAATTACACTCCAATTTACATTGTTGTCCATATCTACCGGGAAGACATGGCACACTACAGTTCTGTCCAAATTGGCCTGCAGGGCACGCTGAAAAATTATCTTGTTTTGAAATTAAATCGACATTGTTTCAAACTGGATCAAATATTTAAGAAAAATATATGTGTGGTCGTTATTGCATGAAATAATCTTTTCTTATTACAACATTTGTTTTTTCCCAATATTTCGTAAAATAATGACAGAAATCGCAATGCTAAAATTTGCATTTCTTGGTTCTATTTTGAATATATGACGTACATTGTATGTCTTTTGAATTTTGTACTTTATTTGGCATTTTTTTACTTTTTTTATGCGAGCGTCAATGATGATTCTTCTGTAGATGAAACGCTCGTCTTGCGTACAAAATGTTAATCCTGGTATCCATGATGAGTTTATTTAGAAAAATATCACCATTTTCCCCGATAAAAAAGAAAGCAGTATAATATGGCATTAAACAACAACTGGAAAGTCACCTGGATATGTGGAGGGAATACATTTTTCTTTTGAGATCCCAACCCTTCTCTTTTTAATCTCGGTCAGCTTGACTAACAAAATATACATAAAAATATACCACATAAATAGGTAAAGGTAATGCACGTTAACAACACTGAAATAACGGTATATTAGACAACAAATGAATAAAATCAGTAATTTAAACTATATTTAAAAGGTCCATAGTGTCTGTAAGCAAGCACTGACTATTCTTCTTTTTATCTAGAATGCCGGTCATATATTACCTAAACACCGATTGTCCACTTCCATAAAATTAGGACAACATGTCATTTCCAAGACTTTATGGTACTGTCCATCTGGCTTTTGTATTCTAAATAGAACAAAATTAGAAAATCACTATAATTATTTAAATCTCCTCTAGAACTCGAATTTCTTGGTAAGTCCAAAATTAATTAATATTTCAGTTTTTTAAATGATAAATAAATAAACGCGGACTTAAACAATATACAATTATATTTATATTTTAATTATATCTAGGTTTCAGACTTGATAAAAACATCCCTGAGCTCACATATTTAAATGAACACACATAACGAACGCACAAACACGCACGTTATCTTTTATTAAGATTTTAATTAGAATCATGAACGTGATTAGCCCGACTCAATTAAGATACTACCTTTAAAAAAATAAGAAACCTACCCCTCCTCAAAAAAAGAAAGAAAACGAAAAAAGGGGACACAATACAAGAGGGACAAAAGATACCAGAGGGACAGTCAAACTCATAGATCGAAAACAAACTGACAACGCCATGGCTAAAAATAAAAAGACAAACAGACAAATAATAGTACAGATGACACAACATAGAAAACTAAAGACAAAACATGTATCTACCATACCCGAAACGAAAATCAAAAGAATAGTAAGAGTAAAAAGACAAAATTTTCAAGTAAATATTAAATTCTGCATACACCAACGATTGATTGTGTTTGCCAAACAAACATTTTTTTCTAATCAACAAGGGAATATACAAATTGTATAGTTGAGGATCATCTCTGACATGTCTGTTTAATATACAGAATTATTCCTCGCATTGAGTAGGAACATTAATATGGATCAAGAGTTCGGGTTACAGAAGGAAGGTGTCTTACAATGAAGGGCTAAGTTATTTTGAAGGAAGGTCTTAAATGAGTTACTTAAATATACATGTTTTATACATATAAAAACTGTTAATCTTAGAAAAAAATTCAATGAATGTCTGAAAATTTGTCATAACAAATAATGAAAAAAAGTATCTCAAATTAATCAAATATTTCAGCTGCATTTCAGCATTTTCAACTAACATTAAAAGTTTAAGGCGCTTGAAAAAACTTTATGAATGTTATCATATTTTTTGGGGTATTTACTCTTTTTCAAAAAAACAGCCAAATGTTGGCATTTCTTAATTAAGATTTAAATGTTCTTTCACACCTTCTCTTAGTGAGCACACAAATACAGTTTCACAGTCGTATCAAAGCAAAGATTTTTCTAAAAGATATAAAAATTCCGTTGCACCAAGAATTTTAAATTGTATGTATGTCTTCTGATTTAGTGTACCTTTATTCAACTCCATCAGTAAATATGCTTATTTATATCATGAATGTAAAACGGTATGACAAAACTTAAAAGCAACCGTAGATGCCTCTTACAAATATTATTATTATCAAACATAAATAGAATTAAACGATGTATGTACAGACCTTATATACCGAGGACATGCATTTTTCTCTGTAGTACTCAGTCCAGTGGTCAAATCGCTAACAATCAGTGAAAGTAGTAATATGAATGAACAAAGATCTTTAACCATAACGAATTTAATACAATTCTTCTCCGCATTAGATACAATGAAATAATAATTTCCGCGACTAGGTATCAAATTTTAATAAATAGTATATACTTCCGTTTAAAAAATGATTGGTTTTAAACAACTTCAAGTCCGGATAGTATTGTGCAATTTTACTTATGTGTAATACATTGTTGTAATCCATTCGAATGCAGATGAAACTGTAGTGAAACATTTACAAACCACCGTCTGTATATGAGTTGCAACTTCAAATTTGGCTATCAATTTTTTGTGAACTTAAACGAATTATTCCAGTTTTAATAAAACTAGAATAATCAATGTTGTTGTCATATTACAACGTTTAATTTTCGATTTTGTTCTACGTGTTGTATGGTATGTGCTTATTGAAGTCAGCAACCCCTCAATTGTTTCCCTCTCAAATAAACAAAAAATATAAATTTGTCAATCTTAAGAAGTTGTGATGTATCAATTTATAACACAAAATCGCCATACACAAAGAGGAACTGTTACTATGTATTTTGATACTTCGCCAAGGATTGAAACCCTAATTCATTGTAAGTTCCAGACGATCTTTGACACCGATAGAGGCGGAATTTTTGTTAGATTTCGATAACAGAAATCTGTACACTCAAGACGCAAGAACACATACATATGTAATGTTATTTAAGGCGACAGTAGTTTACCGATGTTCTAATCTCGTAAATCGATTAGGAAGAGACAAACTTGAAAACACGCAGCAACTAAGGGAATTGCGTGCAATTCAAAATGAAAGAGACCGGGGCCGTCGACAGGATTACCGTCACCTGCTATGCATACATCACCCGACATGAGAATTCACATTCACTAAAAATATACTAATTATGAATAGGACACATTCGTTCAAATTACAAATCATACGGCTATACTGCTATCTAAAGAACTGGGATCGCGAAAACATATCGCCAGTGAGTTAAGACACCGACACATTGTATTGGTCATTAGACAACTACTTTGTGATGGTGATTGCAAAACTTATGTAGTGTCTACTTCTGTCGTTCCTCTTCGGTTGGAGCAGTTATGTCATGAGCACTACCCTGTTAATGAAGTCCGTATAGCGTGAACATGCACCAGCGGAACATTTCAACTGATATATATATATATATAAACGTAAAACAATTGAGCAGAGGGTATGTTACTGATGATAATTGGTAAGTTGAAGTCACGTTTGTCATAGAATCTAGGTTGAAGTCATCCATCTGTGTCAAGACCTTCTACTTTCCGTAGTATCCTTATATTTAAGTTCAAAGGGGTACATGTATATGAGATGTAAGCACTAATTGAAATGTGGATTATTTAGTGTTAAATTAAATATATTAAAAAAAAACTTAACTTTAGAACAAAGTGCCTTCGTCTAGAAAATAAAAACAACAATGAATAATGTACAAATCTTTTTATTATGATATTTTGAATATCAGTGAAATGTTCTATCTACTGACCTTTTATACCGAGGACAAGTATATTTCTCTTTTGTACTTAGTCCAGTGGTCAAATCGCTAACAATAATTGATAGTAACAATAAAAATGAACAAATATCTTTAACCATAATGATTTCACTACTATTTGTCTCAGCATTAAATAAAATGAAATAATAACCTATAGATGTCTATGTATCAATCTTGGTATAAAGTACACATTTCCGTTTTGTTAACGATTGGTTTTTCAAAATCCCCAAGTTCGAATATTATGTAAGTATTTCACTTATGTACAGTACATTGATAGAACCACTTTAAATATCACTGACTTTTGTTTTCCTGTGAATGAATGATTTATTTATAAAAATTTATGCAAATGTCAACTATAAATACACAGAAAACATTTTGCAAGCAATATCTTGTTCATTAAAAGTATGAACTTCTATACCTGTTAATGGTAAACGATTTTATATGATTTTAAATTGACTTATTAAATTGACTTAAAATTAATTTATCCAAGTTTAATCAAGCTAAAATAGAACAAAACAATGTAGATATTATATTACAAAGTTTAATTTTCGTTTTCGGTTTACATGATGTATGGTATGAGTATATTAAAGTCATCGACTCCTTACGTTGTTAGCTCTATAGACAAGAACACAAATCAGCTTTATCAATCTAATAAATATGTGATGTATCAATTTACATGTAAGACCCAAAATCACTACACGCACTTACCAAAGCCAAACACACTTGTAAACTTCAATTACTCCAAGTTACTGTGAGGTTTCGCTTTTGGGTAGACCCTCACATCGTTCCACGTTCTGAACGGCTCAAAACATCGGAAAGATGGAATTCTTTAATAGTAATTTAATATCGGTAATTTGTGCAATAAAGAACTGTTACTCGGAGTAAAACCTACAAGTTACAGATTATAACGGAAAACAACATACTGTTACAGTTGTAATTTCCCTGGCAGTCGCGGTTAATATTAAAGGCAAAAATTCAATCATTCGTTTGCTGTGGCCATAGGACACATACATTTATGTGTAAGAGAACTCTGAAAAGGTCACATTATACAATATAATATAGACTGCACAAAAATGCAGATAAAAAACTGACTGGAATATAAAAGTTAAGTATACACACTATAATTTATCTCAAGAATAAGAAAATGTGGGAACATACACAAAAGATAAGGCACGAGGGAAATTTCTACGATATCCACATGAAGTACGAGAGGTAACATAGATCCTTAATCGGACAAGACTGGAAGAATTTAATTAATTTATGGAACAAAATCTTTACATACACTTCAACACGCCACCTAAGTTTGTATATTGTGAAATTAAAATGTACCATGCTCTGTATTGAACTAACTGCATGTGTATTAAAAACTTTCAACATATATATAAAAAAGAAGTATATGAGCACCTTGGTAAAATTGCCATCAAGTGAATGATAACTTTGTTTTAATTTACACTTTTCTGAAACATTTTATATGTTTTATGCATGCTGTCTTGTAGATAAGTTGCTTTTGGTTTGTGTCATTGGGTTGCTGTCTTATTGAATCAATCCCCAACAACTGTGTTTATTAATATTTTACCAACTTCAGCAAACTAAATTTAAGTCGCATTTTAGACGCAGTTTATATATGTAGTTTCTAAAAGACGGTTTTCCTGGCAACAACATGATTTTCTCCTGACAGTGTGTTAGCTTCGATTTGGGAGGTCATGGGTTTGATTCTCGTCAGAGTAAAATATTTAATCAATATTTTTTGCTTCTATGTTAATAACTTTCGGGAGTAACTGTAAAGACTGTTGAGCTATTAGTCACGTACTATGTTTCTGGATGGGGTTATATGTCTTTTTGTAACCTACCACTATGTGAAAACAACACGCTCAAACCTGATTCTAAGCATTAAATTATTCTGCTAAAATAGCATTTATTGTTTTCTGTTGAAAGAATCCACATAACACTGTACGTTAATTTTTCCTGTGAGTGCTATTACATGCAATTAAAGTTAGTTGTAATTTGACTGACTGTCGCATGTTGATTTTAAAGGCCAAAAAACAACCTTTCAGGTAGCTATAGGACACATAAATATATGTCTTAGAGAATTCTGAAAAGGGCACATAAAACAGATCGACTGCATAAAAATGCGAATAAAAAACTGACCGAAAAGTCATCTTACAAATAGGAAAACATGAGAACGGTCATTTTAAAAACGCACGAGGGAACTTTCTACAATCTTCAAGATAGAGTAGACATGAAGGGGTGTATTTTAATTTTTTTATTGAACAAAATTTTAAAACTTATTTATTCTTATATTCATTTTGAAAATAAATCACAAGCCTATAAAAATCGGTATGTATAACTTGATAAAATACAGTTTGCATAAAAGAGAATAAATATTAACAAGCAGAATCTCTTTTCTGTAAATTCAATCTTAAAAGAAGGACTAAGGAAAGAAAACATTCCCCCTAAATACATGGATGCTAACGTTAGGACGGATATTATGGTTATAGTAAAAAAAAAACACTTGTCCTGCAGATCAACTTCAAAATCGAAGTTTCGAGATTTAAAATCTTTTATTTCAGGCTATGTCGAAATTTTGACATGTCGCATTGATGACTTCACTTTTTTTTTTTATTATAGTTTATTTATTTTTTTTATTTTTTTACTATTTCCTTATTACGCTTTCCCAAAAACCGCTTTCGCAAAAACAAAACAAATCAGCATGAACAAAAAATAAGATAGAAAGACGAATAAAACCATTGTTACTTACAGTTTATAATGGCCACACGTATTATTTCCTGTCAAAGTAGTTTTCACGTGTTTTTCACATAAAGAAATGAAAAACATTGATAGATAAAACTTTGAATTCATATTCATACTTTAAAAATTCATCTCTGATCGTTTGATTATTTTTTTTTTTAAACTTGAATAACACATTTTACTGAAAAATATATAAAACAGGAAGTATTAGTCATTATATAGTAATAAAAATACTGTTACAACGGAACAATGCTTTTGGCAATCTCCATTGGTTTATGACATTTTCATGTATTCAAATATATTTATGATCCATTTATTGCTTGGTGGTTGTTTAAAAACCTTTCTCTTTTTAAATATATGTGGTTCGCTGCTGGCTATTTGCGTCGTTGGGTAGCGGTCGCCTTGACGTATATATGTACTCCAAATCTTTTTTGTTAATAATTGATCCATAGCAGAGCGAGTTTGTACAAACTACATTTAATATTTTATTCAACCAGGTTTTACGTTTTTGGATTTACAATACTAATTAGTTACGATTATTCAAACTTTGGGTTCGTTTAAAATTATGGAACGTAAATATGGTTGATTGTATTACATGAAAATCGTTATTTTGTCAGAAATTAAAAGCGCTGTGGAAGGTAAGCAGTTTATACCTTTTTATGGACATCCGTCATGTAACTCATGTTTAATTCCGGTGATAAGGCATCTGATATAGGTAATAGCAGTTTCTGTAGTAAATGTCTCTTGTAGAACCATAAAGCATTACCAAATTAATAAATCGAAAGTTTGCATAAATTCTACAACCCTCACATTTGACGGACCAACAGAAACT